CAAATATGTACTATCAAAATAAAAATTTTTATAACATTATGTTTGCCTAGCCAAAAATCTCATATTGGAAAAACAAACAGCACATCAAAAATACAGGGTGTTTTGAAAGTTCGTCCGGAAACTCCGGGAAGTGATTCTAGGGATTAAAATAATAGCAGTATGTAATGAAAATTTTTATTTTTTTTGAATTGTCAATTGTTTGCAAACTTGCACCCCTAAAAAGATGCTTCTAAATGAAGGTACCGACTAAATTTTTAAAACAAAAACCTACAGCATAAACCTAGTTGGTTCATGCCTTTTTTTTGGGGTGAACCGCTCGCCTTATTGGGCCAGTCAGAGAAAACTTTCATCATGCCCGCTAGAGGTCACTTTACCTAGCACTCAAAATTTAATAATATTAGTAAATGTATTATCCTCATTTTCAACTGCATTATTTTCCTTTTCTAAAATTTTGACGGAACCCATGAACCATTTTCCCAATCGTGTTTGCAAATTTTCAGTATAGTAAATTTCCGTTTTTTTTTTATATAAGTACCTACTCATTGTGGACATTTATTCTAATACTTAGCTGTCTAGAAGTCTGCTCTCCATGATGTTCATTGACGTGTTTTTGACAAAAAAGCCAGTAAAATTATACAGAGTGTATCTAAATAGCACCGAAAAAATTCAAGGGGCGATTCTCCGATGAAAATTAATAGGGGTCTTTGGTATAATTTTTTTTGAAAAAATTCGCCCCTGTAAAGTTACGCCCTACCAAAAATTTCAGAAAAAAATTGATTTTCTTTTTTATCTTCCATGTATATCAAGCTAAAGAAACCAAACTTATTGAACATTATCTGCCAAAAACTACTCTTTTTAAAATTTTTTAAAAACTGAAGTATTTTTGTAAGGCTAAGAATGTAGCAAAATATAACTTTCAGGTATTTTTAGCGATCGTTGTTAAGTAAAATTAAATTTTGTGTAAACAAGATACACAATTTTTTAATGCGTTAGCCTTTTAAAGAAGTAAAATTATATTGAGGCGACTTGATATAAAACAATAGAAAACGATAAGCTATGTCCAGTAGAAAAAGATTCCTGAATTTATGGTACTTTTTCCAAAGCTCCCTGTATAAGAAAACACATTTGTTTTTAAATTTTTGTACAGTATAAAAGAAAACCACTAAAAATATAAAGTGTGCTTCATTAGAAATAACGAGTTCCAACGGCATTCCTTCGAAAATATCACGAAAAAACTAAACGGTGTAATGATTGCGATTTTTTTTCAAACAAGTTCGCTAAAAATATGCAGAAATGTGCACATCTACTTGCGCAAACACACCTGGCCATCTGCATAAAGACAATTTTCGTCTGACAAATAATGACCCGATTTAAAAATTGCAATGCAACATTTCGTAGGATTTAATCATTCTATTTTTTTCAAAGCATACAGGAACCACACGCATTTTTTCAAGGGCACCAAATTTGCATGTGCCTATAAAATCTCAACTGGTTTAGGGTACAGACAAGTTGCTAATTCAACCTGACCAAATCCACAATTATCAACATGAACTCCATGGTAATTATTTATTTAGAATATTTGGACGTTAGATAGTATTATTATTAACAGTGTAAAAAAATTGTTTGACAATTAGAATATGTTATTAAATTAACAATTGTTCTGAGTCAACTGTTTACATATATGTATGTAATTGAATTAAGTTAAAGATGCACAAGAAAGAAGTTGTTTGAATTTATATCTAAAACATTTACTCATAAATTTTAAATTTTCTAATCATATTTAGTATTTATAATAGTTAATAGTTAGTAGCAGATTGTAATTAAATTTAATTTATAACAACTCAAATTTTAATCGTTATTGAACATAATTTTTTCTATGAAAAACGATTCTAAATATATAAAAATTCTCAAAAAATTACAACTTAGACAAATAACTGAATTAAAAAATAACAATGCAAATAAAAATCTTCCACTTATTATAAATATACAATAAAAAAAATCAGTAGGTTCATGGTTAATATTTTTTTTGTGAAAGTTGTTTAGTGGATTTTTCAAAATGAGCTTTATTATTGCGATTTATATTTGCAGATCGCAGTCGTCTTCGTCGTCCTCGCTGTTGCCGCAGTCAACGCAGGAGTCCTCGCTCCCGCTCCCTTGGTAGCTTCCCCATGGTCCGCCTCCGTAGTATCATCACCTCTTGTTGCTGCCCGTTCAGTAGTAGCCACCCCTCTATCAGCAGGAATCGTCGCTCCAGGACTTGCATCTCCCTGGGCTCTCTCCCGTTCTGTCGTGGGACCTGCTGTCCTCCCAGCAGCCGCCACAGTTTGGTAACCACTGAAATTGGACTGTCGATCATAACAATCTAGAAAAAATTAATGTCTACATTATTTATTGTTACAGCATGTTCCTTTTTGTTTTTAAACCGAAATTTAGTCTGTAGAAGCAATATAGGAAAACAAATAAAATACAAAAATAAAAAACTACTGTTTTAATTTATTTATACAGCGAAGCTATACGAAATACAATAACAAATTCCACTGTTTATCTTTTATGATGCAATTCTCTTCAGTATTGAATTTGCATTTTAAGCCTACTCGGACATACANAATGAATGTCTACATTATTTATTGTTACAGCATGTTCCTTTTTGTTTTTAAACCAAAATTTAGTCTGTAGAAGCAATATAGGAAAACAAATAAAATACAAAAATAAAAAACTACTGTTTTAATTTATTTATACAGCGAAGCTATACGAAATACAATAACAAATTCCACTGTTTATCTTTTATGATGCAATTCTCTTCAGTATTGAATTTGCATTTTAAGCCTACTCGGACATACATTAGCCGTCAAAGCAAAACTTGATATTACTCAGGGAAAAAAATCATCCTAGTTAGAACCAGTTCATTTTTTTCAAAATATATCGAATTTAGCACAGGGGCGACGAAGGACGGTCGAATTGTGTATATAAATACTAGGGTGCGATGTTAGACAATAAGTTCTTCGTCAATAGTGTCTCTTGCAAGTGATACGAGTATTTCTTTGAACAAAATGAAAACTCTGGTAAGGAACCAAACTATTTAGTTCTTAAATTAAAGTAAGGGCATAGTTCAAAAATCGAAGTGAGAGCTAAGTTTTTTTTTGCATTTTAAATATGAATCGTAATTTAAAAATTAGAATTAAATTGAATCTAATTATTGCAATTTCTGATCCTATCTTTACTTTCGAAATCAGTCAGAAAGAAAATATATCGTAATCAAACTGTAAGTCATGGAAAGGAAGTCTTCCAACAACTGAATTATTTGAACTTTTTACCCACCTTTTCCTAAAAAAATTAGACTCAGTTAAAATAAAGTAGACAAACTTCCATAAACATTTTTTCAAAAGCGAAATTAAAATTTATTACGTTTCCACTGTTTTGCGATCTTGATTAGTTATCCAAGTCAAGGTTTTAGTGGGATAAAGATCAATAAATAAAAGAACACTATATTTTAAATCATTGCCAACGTTTCGGTGTTATTTTACATCATCCTCAGGGCTCTAAAATACAAACAATGTTTTTAATAAAATTTGTTAAGGTATTAAAATAAAAAAACAAATACATTTACAATAATTCTAAAAAATT